GGGGGGGGGGGGGGAAGATGTGCCCCCTCCCCCATCCGGGCGGCGGGTGTGGAGGGTTGGTTAGGAGTTTCGAACTCGGGGAGGAGAGGTGCTGGTAACCGTCGCCGACCTCCTTCCTTCTCTGGCCTCTTTGAAATCCCCGTTGCCCTCCGTAGGCTGTCTTCTTTTAGTCTCTTAACAGAACTCCCGTTTCGCCCCTGCGGGTCTCCGCGCTCCCGCTCCGTCTCTTTTTGTCCCCCTCTTCGCTTGAGCTCACTTGGCTCCTTTATCTTTACGGGGCCGCGCCAGTCGGGGGTGGGGGTTCGGACTTTCCATCTCTCTGTCCCATTTCTTCACGCTGCACCCGTTAGACTCTGCAGTTTGGAGCCCGTAGCCTCCTTTGCCCGAAGTCGGAGGAGGGCAAACCGTCCCGACTCCCTCCCCTCTTCTCTGCCCGCCGCGGCGATGCCCGGGGCGTCGCGAAGAGCCCCTCTTGGCACCTCTCTTCCTCCCGGGGAGCGGTCTTTTGGATTGTCCCGGCCTCGCGCGGCGCCACTAGCCGTGGGAGAAGTGTAGCTGGATTGCCGCTTTTCCTGAAGACCTACCGGCATTTCTTTGCTCAGTCTTTTCACTTCAGAGCCATTTCGGGTTTGATTCAACTTTCGTCATTAAATGTTTCCTAAACCCCATTTTGTCCTGGGACTGCAACTAATTTTGGCAACTCTCCAAGGTTCTCGAGTACCTGGAATAACGCGTTTCCTTTAGTCATAAAACTTGTTTTTTTCCCCCGGTAATACAGAAAAACAGTAATTTGCCATACCCGCGGTTTCCTCGCCCAAAATTTCAGTTCGCGCTCTCTCGGAAAGAAAGAAATCGTTTAAGCAATAAAACCCTAGATTCAAAAACTATTTTTAATTTCTTTCTCTGAATCGCTTTATTAGCTAAAGTTCAACAGTGTATGAGATTAACTCTCGTTAGCCATTTTTGCGGTCGTTACCCCCCCCCCCCCCCACCGTCAGTTTACGGTTGCTGGTGCGAAAGATAACGAATCTTTGGAACTTCGTTACTTCGAACGAAACCCGGGGAATGCGTTGCCCGATCTTGCGCGTGTAATATTGCCAGCCTGTATGGCCTCCTCCTCCTCCCCCCGCCTCCCCCGCTCGCCGCGCACTCGCACTGCTTTACGAAGTCTTAACTGTGTGAGCTCTAGAATTGTATTTCCTGGGTAAGCGGCGGTCTTAGCCACTTAACTAGCTGAGTGACCTTGGGTAAGTTCCTTAACCACTTTGACCGTTTCCCCTTGAGTAAATTGGGATTAATAAGTACTCTACTCAAAGGATTGTTGTGAAGACTAAGTAATGACTGTAAAGCACTTGGCTTATAGTAAGTGCTCAAGTGATAGCTATTAAAAGTAATATTATTATTCCAATCTTTAGATATTTAAACTTCTCTGGACAGCTCTTGCTCTTAAAGCCCGTACCACTCAGGTTAGCAATTAATTGGTCTTTGACTCTTTCTCCTACTTACTCTTGTACTCTTAACGAATTGAGAGACCCTTGAAGAGTGGGGACTGTGTTTCATATTTATTTTGGTTAAACCCTCCCGCCCCTGTCCCCCACCCCCCCGACGCCCCTCCGTGCCCACGCCTCTCGCCCCTTCTTCCTCTCCCCCTAGCTTTTCTAGCATATGCTTAGAGTGAGTGCTTATTTGTTTATTAAGTGAGAAGTCTGTTCGATAAACATTTTTAACTGTTAGGAACATTTTCCAGATCCTTGTACATGCTACTTAACAAGTAGCTGTTTAGTTCCTTGTGTGCAGGGAAGGCAGGATGGGAGGTTACCTAACCAAACCATCCTTTTCATCTATATTAGGTTAGGATAACCTCCCCACACTGATAAATCAGTTCATTGTTTTCTTTACCTAGGTAGTTGTTTAGGGCTTGTCATCTTTGTAGATTGCTCAGCTTCCTCCTCTCAGCTGTTTTTGACAGTTTTACTATTATTACTTTCACCTTGGAATGAGGGGTATTAAGGCTAGGAGGTGAAATTCTGCTTGACTTCTTACCAGTAGTGGTTGGAGAAAAATAGTGATGTAGGAGGTTGAAATACCTTGTCAAAATGAGATTTTTGGATTCACTTTATGTATATTTGCATGATCCATGCTACCCATATTGTTCTGAAGAGCTTTTTCAATACTGTTGCTAGGGCTTATTCGTATATAGTTACTCCATGGCTTGAGGAATGTAATTTGAAATATCATAGATCCAAATCAGTGTAATCATTTTTATAATCGTATTCTGTTATGTGAAGAGAGCATAAGGTATTAGTTGTATGCCATAATGAAATATTTTAGATAGGCAGACACGTCACCATCCAATACTTAGGCTTCATTTGCCTGACCTCTTTCCCCTCTTTCAAAACTTTGTGCATATAGTCTAACTTCAGAGTTCTTGTATCTAGCATTTTGATTTTATTAGAATGGATGGTGTTGTAAATATATTACGAAAAATCCTTTCCTTTGTTTGAGAACAGAGCCTCTTAAATATAAATCAGCAACTAGAAATGTTAAAAACAAAGCTAACATGCCAACAAATTATTAGTGAATCCATTTATAGATTTAGCTTTTAGAATATGACCAATATTTAAAATAATATCTCGGGTGGATTTTCAGTTTTTAATGAGATAAATTAGCAGATGAGATTTCACTTGACTGAAAATTACCTTTTTAAGAAAAATGCATGATGTATTTCATGAGGTTTTTAGTTCATTTCTTGTCTATCACTTCTTACCAGTGTATTTTGGGAGTTGTAGTCAACCTCAGCCATATAGTGTTAAAGCAACACATGAGATATATGGGGCATTTAGTAACTTACAGAGAGGGCAGTGTCTTAATTGTGCCTCATGAAAAGCAACTGTATTAAGATGGAAAGTCTTGGCTTTGAAGAATAAGCTTTGTTTGGTAATTATGGGGACAAGAAAAAACTGTATTTTCCTTGTCTAAATGGTCAGTCACATAACTAGCTAACCTATTTCCAGAGATACTGATTATGTTTTTAATGATAAATTATAGAACTTTTAAAGTGATCTTTCCCCACAGATACCAAAAGGACAAAGGAGGACTACCAAAACATAATTATTAAGCATCTTTCTTAGTAACATTTAGATCTGTTCTTACAAGTTTCATATCTAAATGCAAACTTAAGAATTCTACCACATATGAAAGATAAGGATTTAATTACTTTAATTTTGGAATTGGAGTTTTAGTTTCTTGACAACTTCATATTAGCATAGGACTTGCCATGATTATGCTAGTAAACTTTCATGTTACAGGTAGATCCAGTGTGAATTTTGTTTTTAGTAGAAAACATTAACACAGTGAACTCAGCATTTCTGTGTGTCACAAGCATCCTTAATGGAAGATTTATGTTCCAAGGCTTTAATCTGAAGATGTTAGCCTCATGTCCATACTTGGTCTAATTTTGAAATATTTATATTTGTTGAATATTACCTGTTTGTTCGAAGAACTTAATTTAAAAATTTACATATCAATTAGAAGTTTCTGTTAGATCTCACCTTATAAGTTATTGGTAGTTATAAGCTTTTTAAAATTTAATTGCCAGATGTTTTGATTGCCATTCTTTTTCTTCTGCTGCTACTAAATGATTTTAAGTCTTCCAGAACTTACCTAAGTGCACTTGGACATTCATTAAATGCTGTCTGACCTGAATTTTTTAGAGGGAGGTAGGAGGAGGGAGTTTATGGCAAATAATCATTCAAAGAGAGTTGTCTTGGTAGTTGAGTCTTTTTTTTTTTTTCTTCATAAGATGCTCTGAATTCAGCTGAAGTTTTATCTGAAGCCTTTTCTTCATATTTTAGTTTTCGTTGGCATTTATTTTCTCATTTTGACCTGTATTCACAAATTAAGAGTAAGTCTTGGTCCTTTTTCCTGGTAAGAGAAATGCATTTTTCAAAAAAATGTTGTAGCAATATCAGGAGATTTTCTAGGCTATTGCTTTCTTTGTTAGAAAAATTAAATTATACTCCAGTGGTTAAATATTAAGGTAGAGAGAGCGCTATTAATGTACTCATGTGCAGGAACCTTTGTTCTTTTTTTAAACATTTCCTGTTCCCTTTCCTCCTCTTAAGTGAATATTTTCTTTTTTATAAATACATGTTTCAAGATAAAACTGCATGCCCAATATTTCATTTTTGTGTTATATTTCTGTTCTGATAATGATAGTAGAGGTAGTACTTTGCGTCACCAAATTTAACCTTTTTTGTTGTTCTGCTTTTAAGAATTATTGAAGCACAGATTGACATTAGTGTTTCATATGTGAAGCCAACTTTGAGATGTTGCCCATAATCAAGTAGCTCAGGCTTGTGCTGTTTCCTTTTTTACTGGAAAATGGGTTCAAGTAAGGTGGAAACCTAAATACTCAAGAACTATTCACAAAATACTTGAGTCCTTGGAAGAATTTAAGACATTTCAGTTTAAGGTTCACAGATCTTTGACGGAATGTAGATTATGTCTTTGTTCTCAGGGACCTGAGACAGCATCTCCATAATAGCACCAAATTGTTTTAAAAGTGGAAAAACCGGCAAACTCAATTATTTGGAAGTTATGAGAGGAATTAAATAATCATTTAGATTGAGGCAGAATATTTGATTATTTTTTAAGCCATATTAAAATGGGCAGCTGCTGGTGGTAGGTTTGTTTTTTTCTTCCTTTGTAATTCAGGATAGAGTACTAAAACTGTTTAACTGGTGTGGTAAGACAAGCAGCATTCAGAAACAGAATTTGTGTGTGTTTTTTAAAAAAGATTTTAT